TTTGTTTGTGCAAGCATTTGCAATACAGTATTCAATGACGGCACTCTGTCCAGAGGAGTGTGTCACCCGGCAAGATGGCTCTCTCTGGATGTGGTTTTACAAAAGAGTTGGAGATGAGGAGGCTTTAATGGAAGCTCATCTTGCAGCAGGTCATATTTAATGGTCTTTTTTGTACTTGTGCTTCAGCTAAATCCAAATGGTTATATTTTCAAGTAAAACAAACAAAACACCTCAACTGTCAAACTGTTGGTCCATGGCTTCACTTTTTGAAAAGCTAAAATCACCTAAACAAAAATAATCCCTAATGACGATATGTGCCTCTTCAGTCTCTTAAATCTGCTTAATATCAAAACAGTCCTGTCAAGTCCTTCCTCTCAATCAGGATATTTCTTGTTTGTGTGTGTTTTTCAGCGCAGGGTAGTCATTTGGACACGGCCATATCTGAGTGCCTTCTTTGGCACAACTGTGTGGGTGGTCCAGGGGCCTGCACCCAATGGTGAGAGGGGATTAAAACAAAAGCCAAACAAAAGCCCCACTGCAGGGGAACCGTGTTGTCACTGTCAGCATGGATTTCCTCACTGTATTCCATATGTTTTGAACCTCATAACCACGGACATTCCTGATTTGAAGATTATGTTTGCGAGAAAGGGAAACTTAAACATCGGGAGTGTGTTTGAGAATTCAATAAAGACGGTAATGAGACATATCTGTGAAAAAGCATCAAAACTAAAGCATAAATGTATGCTCCTTTCTAAAATGATCAACATGACTATCATAAAGTGTCTCCTAAAATGAAGAAAATGTCATTTTTTCCAACAAATAACATTGTGAAACTGTTCTTTTCTTGGTTGAAATTGATCATGTACGTCTGAAGAAATGTATCTTTTCAACATTCCTCTGAACACAAGTGTATCACAGTGCAATATGTACGCCACCACTTCCCACACATTCCACATGCACACCTTGAACGGCACTGGATGCAGAGGAGGAGGCGGTGGCCGGATGAAAAGCCCGTCGCTGTTCACACTTTCTAGGACACGAGTATGCTGCGCTGCCAAGGTCAACGGCACACATGTTCTAATTGTACGAGGAGCTTGACATCAAACGGCAGGGCCTGTCCGACCGGGGCTAGACAAAGGTTAAGTCAGCAAGCTTTGTAAAAGCACTCCTAAGCAGACCCCCCCCTCCCCCCCTCCCCCCGTCTGTCCCTATCTGAACACACACACAACCCCCAATGCCCTCAGGGGGCAAGTGTCGGGAAGGCCTGAGGGGGAGATGATATGCCAGACAAGAGCTTGTTGGCACTTGATTTTAGTTTTTCATCTGTATTGGCACATTAAAGGGATCCTGACTGAGCTGCAGCAGAGTGAAAGACATCCACTCACAGAGGTCCGACCAAAAAATAAAGAACACAGAAGGACAGGTTTACATCCTAGTTCCCTAATCCGGGGACTATTTTTCTAGCTCGATGTTTCACGAAATGTGCCCCGGACAGAGTGTCCTTCAGCTCAATTTGAACGCCATCCGAATGCTTGACTTGCTCCCTAAAACCAGCTCCACATAATATAGATTTCAAGTCTGAATAACAATTGGAACCTTCGAGTTCCTTCGACGTTATATGCAATGATTTGTCAAGACGATTGATGGTCAGGAGCTGCAGCACGGGCACCAGAGAGTCTGATCATGCTGCAGTGATACACCGCAGTCGTGACATTCGTCCGTAAGGCAGCTTTCAATGAGTGTTATTGGGTTTATCTAAGTGTATGGGCTCGCTGTGCTCTACCAAAGGCTTGGGATTGTTTCACTGTAACGTACGTCTGTCATGGAAACAAGCGAGCCAGTATAGTGCTCCGATGAGGACATGCACGAACATTCCTCAGGCACTTCCAGTGTTAAGCACAATGGCGTATAGGTTACAAGGCAGTGTGTTTGCTTTATTTTAATGGTACACATCCATGCAGAAAGGTGTGATCAAAGAATGTGTGGAGTTCTGAATGTTCTGGATACTGCTTTCTTTATCACAAATTGCAGGAATATTGTTTAACTGAAATTAAAATCATCCAAATGTTATGACTAAAAAAGGGTTTTTCCTTCTATTATCCTACAGGAGAACAACCTGATGGATACTTTGTATCTTTCAGCAAAATCTACCAACGGGTTACCTCAACATTAAAACAGACACACTGTTCAAATGTGAAATGGCCCTGGAGAAAATCAAGCAAATCGGACAAAAAGAGCCAAGAGTCATCAGTGTGATTCCCCAAAGCCCTCACACCAACATTTCCCCATGCAAAGAGAGCTGCTCCCCAGAGATTACATCACGCATTTCTATTGTAAAGAAGCCCTGCAAAGTGTGTGAGTGTGTGTGACTGGGTGTGCGTTGGCCAACATGAGCCAAATGGAGAGGTATAAATAATAGCAGTGATTTTCTTTCTTTTTGGAAGTATCAACTTTAAAATAAATACACATTTTAGAGTAAACAAGTGATTATGTTAATATTAAAACACTATATTATTGTGACTGTTGGTTCATCTATGAAATTATTAAATTAAGTACTTCTCATAGATACAAAATTAGATTTATTCCTGCTTTTATACAATGTTGTTTTATAAAATACAGCAATTACAAATACTTGAATTTGAAAGAATTGTAACATTTAGAAAAACATCATGTTCAACAGGATTTTTGAAAATAAAGTACTATTTCTACGGTTGTTCCTATAATTCCAACGGCTTTCTGAAGATGTGACTTTAGCACTATAATGATCGTTTTATTGCGCAAAAGGCTGAGTACAGAATACAAGATGAATGAGCCTTTTTTTCTCTCTCTCACATGGCGAGGACGAGCCCTGTCAACCGATGTTGTCGACATTGTGAGCAAAAGGGAACAAATCAAGTGTGCTAAATTTATGTGAGGGGGGTAAACAAAAACATTTCCATAACAAAACGCAGGCTTCGACCTGCAACAGAATCCGCACGTCGCTCCTAGGAGAGCCAGACAGGCGCAGGGGGACAAAAGACTGATTCAAAATCAAATGGATATCTATTTTAACGGGTTTTATTTGTATTCATTTAATTAAAAATATAAATCGTCGCATGTCTTTCTTTCGCCGAATTAAGAATTTAAAAGATGTAAAAGAATGTCAAATATTTCCAAGTTGTGTGTGCATGTGTTTAAGCGCATGCAAAAGTCAACTGTAAGATCTCAAAGACGAATTTACAAAGGAGCCTCCAATTTTTTACATAAATATTAATATTAAAATAGTTATATTTTGAAGAAAGGCTTTCAAAAAGGCCTCATGCACATATTACAAAATTGTTTAAAATGAATACATGTATGCATTAAACACTTGAATCCTAAAAGTTGCCGATAATGTGACCAGATGCAGGTTAGACTGATGTTTAGGGGATAAAACTAACTCGACTTTTGAAAACAACAATCCTACACTTGCTTGTCTACTAAGAGAACCATTTCTGACTTAATAACGCTGATGTCAAAATTCCATATTTAAGAAATAAATCTTATTATAAATCCGGATCCAGTTTCCATTTAAAGTCGAACTTAAAGAAGTTTAAAAGCTGCTGAAACAGAGTGAAATAAAGAAAACACAGCTAGTGTAAAGTGTAGTAGTGACAGGGGAAGTTGTCTTGTTTTGGAAAGAGGAGAACTCAGCTGGTTAATTCCACTCACCGTGCTCGGAAATCACCCCGGCTATTGCGGGATCCTCGTCCGACTTGAGGTGCTGCGGCTTGGCTTGCTTGCGTCGGGACATGCTGCTGCTGGCGTGGATGTCGCTGCTGCTGCTGCTTTTGCGCTCCGTGATGCCTCTGCGTTTTGCAGATACATCAGCGGAGAGCGAATGAATCAACACGCACACACACTTAAAAAAAAAAGTTCGCAAATAGTCTGATATAGCTGAGAGAGAGGAAAGGAGGGGGACGCAAAAAAGGAAAAATGTTCAGTAAATTAGCCGTTGCTGCTGCTGCTGCCGTCGCTGATGTTGCTGTGCGTCGGATTGCGCATGTCGGTATAATAATTACGATAGTGAATAATGCCTCGCGATTAATGGCACCATGTGAAGGTGGGGAGGATTGGCTGGAGTCCAGCGGACGCGCATTGGATATGGTAATGAGGGACCGACTGAGCAATTAGCAGCTTCACTCTCAGACTTTATCCGTCTCTTTTTCTCTTTACTATCCAACCTCTCTCCCCCCCACAACACTACACACCAAATCTCTTGTTATGCCCGGGCTCACGGGGGGGTCTTCAACAAGGGAACGTCAAAACCCCTGCCTCCTTTCACTGAGGATTCACAGCGTTTCTTCTCCGAGTATCATCTTCATCACTTTGACCTTTATGATCCCATCTTCTCATAAAGTCTCGAGAGTTCTGCTCCGTTATAGGTAACTTTTACTCCTCCTGAATTGGACTCTTTAAAGTTGTCTCTTCATGGACACGTTTCCGGTAATCATAAACCGGTTGATGTGTAAAAGTTATTCACAAAAGCAGCAAATTGTTCGCAGGGTTTTCTTGTTCCTCTTTTTGAATCGTGTTCAAACTTTGAGGCGAGAAAGTGGATAAGCAGCCTCCAACATCAAACACTCATTCGTCCCAGAAGAAGTCGCTTCTCCTCGCGATGAAGTCCACCTCTTCCTCCTCCTTTAGCTCCCGGTTGCGCCTTCGCCTCGGTGCGCTCTTCCAAAAAAAAAAGTACCTTTTTTTCGGGATACAAACACTGAAACGCGGAGGCTTTCTTCCAAATTAAAGCATCACTCAGTGTCTTCCCTTCTGCCGGCTCATGTGGAAGCCAACTTTGGAAGTTATCTTGTGGCAGACCGCTCCGGTGTCTCGGTGTCGGGCACGGCTCGGTGTGTGTAGGGACTGCGCTGTGTGTGAGAGTTAACCCCCAAGCTGAGGTTCAGCCCATTGCTTCCAGCCACCACTAGGATGTACCACCACGTTACTGTTCAATGGATCGTCCTCAGACTCCAGTGAACACCCAGATTTGACCTCCCATCATACAATAGCTCACACCAACCTGTTTTTGTTAGAGATAGACATGGAGATCGGGATATGTCATATTGATCTCACAGTATATTTGATTTATGAGTGGAGATTTTGTGGCTCTACATTGGCTTTTCCATACATTTAGGTTCACTTTAATGTAAAAAAAGAAATACGCACAGTGTAAAACTGTGTCCTTTGCTGGTCCAAGTGATTAAATGTGCATTACACATTTAAATTATTGTATATCGTAGCCTACAGTTAGTTTATTATTTTTAATAGCGTATATGTAAACACTATATATATCTTGCACTTTTTGCTTTTTGCTTAAAAGTAAAATACGTAAATAAGGAGAAACGATGTTGTGTGCATCGGTGTGAACTCATTGTGTTGCTGAATAAACACATTAACCCTTCACATGGTGAATTTCTATTTGCATCAAAGTCTCCGGATGCATGGGGTCACATTAATGGGAAGGGGATTGGAGGGATTAAGATAGTCGAGGCCAACTGGCATGTAAATAAGACGGGCAAAACGTGCATACATGTTATTGATATACATAAATTGATATTCATTATTTGAATGTATTTTCTTTTTGAATTTTAAACGTTGTAATGTATCCTAAAATAGGGCTTTAGATGACGTAATTGTTTATGTAATATTTTATGTTAGTGGGAAATTTGGTAAAACGTGCAATTCTAGATAAATAAGAAACCTTTTTTTACTGTAACGATGAGCTTTTTTTCAGTTAGGGAGGGGGGTTCGGTTAGAGCTCCCCCCCCTCCTCTCTCTCCCCCCTGCCTCCCCCTCCCTCTCCCTCGTGTCTGTTTGACTTGTCTATTCCCCTGTGTGCACCTCATATGAGAGACAAATCTGTTGTCAACAAGGTCGCCCCGCGCGCAAACTTTCTTCTTTCCCCCCCCCATTTCCCACTCTTCCTCCTCCATCACCTCCTTTAGAAGTTATGTCCAAAAAAAGTCTGTTATTATCTGGTATTAATAGATTCAGCCCCAGGAAGACAAAATCAGCTATTGATAATTGCAAGGAGTATACGGCAGCTACTGTATCGATCGGCGTGTCCTCCACTCCCCTGCTGCTGCGAGATAAGGAGACACACTCTTTAGAGCAATATAATTTCTTTTGACCTATCTGCTTGCTACAGACTTATGATGAATAGCCAGAGTGGCTGAAGTCCTTTATCACAAAAGTTACCCCCTTGATATAATATTGATTCTTTATAACAAGCTCGCCACACAAAAATCAAACTGTCCACTTGGCCATCATCATCATCAATATCATCACAAAGGCGGAGGAATGAAGATCCCTGCGCCTCTACAAAAAAAAAAAGAAATAAAAAAGGAGAGCCTTTACAATCTCCCCTCTGTAAGGCCTAATCTTTATTTTGCTGATGATGAAAGGAGAGGGGAAACGAGGCAAGGTGCCATTTAAAACGAGCTGCCATTTAATCCGGTATAGACACACATACAGGAAAGGAGGGAGGGGGGAGATCCAGAGTGATCAGGTCTGCCAAACAGCTTGGACTTCTGGGAAAGTCATTCATTTGGTATGATTTTGTACAAGTGGCAGAAAGGGTTTTGCTGATTTTAGAGTCTCCACACCAATTCTAGTGACAAATAAAAAGACCCACCTCCCTGGAACTATTAAAAAAGACTATGGATTTGGGAAATATCACCAAATGAATAGCTCTGCAGAGGAAGAGTAAAAAGAAAAGCACGTTTGTTTTACGACACAGCTGACACCGGATGCGCCCCAGCGGCATCTTTTAACCTTAAAGAGAAGAAGGCTGTTTCTGCTGCATAGCTGGAGCCCCCCGAAGAGGGCTATTTCAGCGGGGCCAGTCTCTCTCCATTCACCGGGAGAGGAGAGAGAGATGCTGGTGGAGGAGAAGCGGCGGTGGGGGTGGAGGAAGGAGGGAGAAAACCTGTAATCACCCAAACAACCGTTTTTTTTCTCGTATTTGTTCACCCCCTCTGGTTCCGTGTCGCAAGGTAAGAAAAAAGGGGCTACTTGGCTCCTAATGCTGGCCCTCTCTAGTGTGCATCCTATAGTGCACCGGCTGACTTCTCTAAGAACTCCTCTCCTTTTCCTCTCCCCTCTCTCTCACTCTGCAGCATCTGTCTCTCACTGCGGGAATCTGAAAAAGGGGAGGCCGGATCGCGAGGAAGTCACCAAGAGGTAAATTACGCACGCTTTTGATTTATCATTTTATCGTCACGGATTGTAAAAAAAAAACAAAGAAATGTGCCAGCACTAAAGTTCTCCATCAAATATATTTTAATACGATTTTTTTTTTTTAATCTACTGTGGATTTTAAAGCAGGCGATTACATCGATAGAGAAGCGCAGGATGAGAAACCGCGTCCCTCAGTGTCCGTCAGTTTCCAATCAGACGTCTTTGCGCCGCCGCAACTTGTGCCAAGACGCGTTCACACACACACACACACACACACACGCACGCACGCACGCACGCACGCACACACCGCAGGCTAATGTAGCAGCCTATGACACACTCCTAAAGGCTTTGATCTGCACCAATCAGAGGCGACTTGTAACTTTTTTTCCTGCTATCGGATGATCATGACAGAATAGTCCCTGCTGGGTTGATAGTTATTATTGTGTGTGTTTATTATAAGAGATGTGGCATTGCTTTATTTCTTCTAACTGTATAATACTGTTGTGTATTACATTTAGTGAAGTTGATACTTTTTATGGTTTTATTGTGACATTCCTTTAGACAAATAGGCTAATTGTATATACTGTAGGTTTATGACAATTTATGATGACATGTTGGATGTTATGGATCTACTAAATTGTTATATATTAATTATATATGAAAATACTTACTAAATATTGTGTCACCAGGACTTGAGTGAGTTTGAAATGATCCCACATTTTTCTCTGCGTAAGTATTCTAATATTTCTTATGGTGTATTACACAGTATTCATATATGATTATGAAACCATGCTCGTTAGGGACTGTATTACAGTGTGAGTTTTCATTCAATTAAAATCAAATAAAATACTTAATTTGTCCTCGGGTGGCATTTTGTAGATGCACTGATGGTACTTAGAGACACACAGTTATATTTTTATAAAATTCCTAAAATATTGAAATACTGACTTTTTTTTAAAAATAGCATAATTTAGTTGTTTTAAAGATTACTGGTAACTTGTTAGTGTGTTGGGTGATAAACAAAGGCTCTTTCCATTTAAGAAGCCATGCAAAATGTGTGTGTGTGTGTGTGCGTGTGTGTGTGTGCGTGTGTGTGTATGTGTGTGTGCGTGTGTGTGCGTGTGTGTGCGTGTGTGTGTGGTATTATTAGACACTGAGTGCAACTATAGCAGCTGACATGACATGTGAGAGAATGTTTTTTTTCTTTTCCTGACATGTTTTCTAGCTTTTTTCTCTTCGCTACACACCCATTAGTTGTATTATGTAAAACACACATGTGTGCACACACAATTTGATACATAATTGTGGACATCATGCATAAGTAATGACTATTGTAGCTGGGGCTCTATTAAGTGGCAACTGGCTATGATCCTGCTCTGAAAGTGTTTTACTCTCACATTTATCCCAGAGTCACAGATTAGGAAGGCGTCTGAATCACGTGTGAACTGTTTTCACATCAGACCACACATTTTTCCAGTTATCATATCATGACCTGCTTATCTCCTCCCCTCAAATGAGGACGGCTGAGACTAAATGTGACAGGCTGCTCGTACCTGAGATGAGTAAAATGTGATCTGACTGCTCCAATCAGGCCTAATTGAAATGAATTGAATCAACCCATTTCTTCTGCTACTGTAATTAAATTAGTAGCCGGGGTGTAATTGGACATCGAGTTGGCACTCGAGAGAGGAGATGACAAAAAGCTCATTGCTGCCACCAAAAGACTATGTGTCAGATTCAGTGTGAAAGGCGGCTCGCCAAATGCTGGCTGACACGTGGACATGGCACCTCACCAGAGGAGACGACAAACAAAACCCTCACATTATTTGTCAGACTGAAACACGGCCAAATATGGAGGGTAATATGTTAAAATGATTGGAATGACAAAATATGCAGAAAGTGTGAAATTAAGCATATTCACTGTAGTGCATATCAAGTTGATCTTAAAACATGCAACAACTTGTTTTTCCCGTGGTGCAAAAACACAGATATTTGGCAACCAGTATAGTTAGATTTGTTTAGGTAAGTACAATTGTTATTTTTTAAGTTGAACTGATAAGTTGATCAATGCTTTGATCTGCATTTACAATTGATAGTGTGATAGGGACTTTTTTGATTGTTACGGGTGTACCTGAACAGGGACTACATAGAAATGAGCTAATAGCTACATTTGGCATAACTCCTCCTTTCTTAGTGTGTTTTATGCATTACTCTTGTTGAATAAAGACATAATAACAATAATAGTTCTTTAATTAAAGTCCATATTTCTGTTTTCCTGGGAACTTAAAACTCCAAAAGTACTAACATTTGTATAACTCAGCTCAGTATAAACATCCAAATTAATAAATAAAGAACCAACAGTTAAAGGCAATCAAATACAAGTCTATTGTAGTCAAAAGTCACTAATGCTATCGGCTGATATCTGATATTCTATTGCAGCCTGATACTTGCAACAGATATATCGTCCTTACCCTCCTAGATAAGCTGTAGGGTTGCCGGTTCAAGTCCCCGAACAGACCTAAATATGGAGGGTCGACTGCTACTTGGGGAGGTCCCAGTTCACCTCCTGCCCTGCCGTGGTGCTCTTGAGCAAGGCACCGGACAACCCCCTTCCCCCCTCACTCCCATTGCTCCTCGGGCGCTGTGCAATAGTTGCCCACTGCTCCTAGT